TTAGCTCATAACTCTTTTTTTTAAGCTCTTTTTTAAATTATCTAGCACCTTTTGTGCTCCAGAAAGTTTTAGTTGTATTTGGTAATGTGTTAAAATTAAAAATCTGTAATCTCATTGTACTAGTGTTGACTAGAATTTATTTTACTGTGCTGATCTCAGGCTATTCTCGATACCTTCATGTAATTCTATTTCGAGTAATGCTTAGAAACGTTCCATTCCTAATGCAAATGGCACGCAGGCACATGGAAATTGGGCAAGTAAGTCGATTAGTTTCTACAGCGTACGCGGGAGCATACAAACTATGCCGGGCCGTAATTCGAGCTCCGATAAGCTCAGACGGTGTTTTCTCTTTCAGGCGACCACGGTAGAAAAAATGCAGTGGAAAAACATACACTTGTATCTACAGGAAAATACTGACTCCACCATAAACTGTTGGATATATGTAAGTAAATGAATTCAAAGATTATCTAGAAGAAAATCCTTTTTCTGAAAGCACGAATTTTGTTTTTACCCTACAAATTTTACCTTAAGGAGCGAAGGAAATAAAACCGTTCAGAATAATTTTGCGAAAAGATTATTCGTAACCCGAGGTTTTATGGTCAATTCAAATATTTGAAACTGCAGATTTTAACAGTTTGTAAAGTATTTTTAGTTCATTGTCTAATTTATATAAGTACATATATGCATACATATAAGTGTTATAAGGGCCGTAGCAATGAACTAGAAATACATATATGCACCTTAATGTGGTTTTAAAAGTTTTTTTCAGCACTTAAATTTATAAAATTCGTTGTGTTTATTGAAAATGCGGAAAATTTAAAAAAAATTTACCTCAATGCTCAATTTAAAAAAAAAATGTAGCTCTTCATTTGAGCAAATATTAGTATTGTTCAGCTCCTTTTTTCCGACCGTTTTAGCTCCAAACGAAATGTTTCTCTGGCAACACTGATAACATGCTATGCGGGCGCACTTGTTGTTGGCGATGTTTGTTACTTCTGCTCTTAGTCTCATATTGCTTTGTACCGCCCGCCGCCAATCACTCTGGCGCCGTATTCAGTTAGTCACCAAACGTGGAACCTCGAAGTTTGTATTTTGAAGTAAAAGGCCGAACAATCGACACACGAGAAAAAAAAAAAAATAAAATAAAATAAAAAAAAAAACCAAAAATCATCATATCGAGCGAAAGTACTTTTGGAGCAAGTGCTGTTTTTTAGTGTAATTAAATTAAGGAAAAACACCAATAACGATTTATTTTAAGATTATTAATCATGCAAGTGTGAAAAAAGCGTGCGGCTGACATAAAAAAAAAACATGTGTACATGTGAGTGTATAGCAAATCAGCTGACTTTTTCGCTGCTCGTTTCGACTAGTGAAACTGTGTAGTATTTATGGTTGGTTTTTTTCTTTTTTTATTATTCAATTTGGCCATCAACTTGTTTGATGCGTGGCTGAAAATTGATTTCTCATTACATTCGTATCGTTTTACTACTTGCTTTTGCAATTGCTGATGACGACAGCATGAAAATGGCCAGAATTTTGGCGTAATGATATGTGTGTAAATAAATTTCAATATGGATTTTCTTTCCACAATCTCGCCTGCCATATTGCGCATCAGTTGCATTGGAAAAGTGCGAAAATAAACTAAAAAGCAAAATAAAAGTGAAGTCTTGTAGAAACAGTAGAAACAACAAGTAAAAGCAGTTAACTATAGCAACGATTAGCTGAGAAAACTTGTATTAATTTTAATCATTTCTAGCACAAACATATTGCAGTTGTGCTGAATACCAAAAAACAACAAAACCAATAGGCAATAGGTATGACAGTGTTTGAAGAAAGAAAACGAAAAGAGTGCAATTGACTTTTGTGACCCACAAACAGGTTAGAAATATGTACCTATTTTATTTTATTTTCGAAAATATCTAAGCTAAAAAAATTCGTGCAAACTGCAATTTTAATAGTAAATCTGTGCGCTTTAGTAAAGCGTGTTATTGATTTTTAAAGGCACCATGTTTTTTTGCTGTCTTAGGTTGGCATTTGTACATATGTATGTATGTATGTACATATACATACATGTGTGTCAGTTTGTGTGAACATAGTGTTACAATTCTAATTCCATGTTTTCATGGAACATTACTTTCTTACACTTAATGTTTGACATGTAATGCCGTGTAGTGATAAATTGTACTTCATTAAATGGTAAAACTGCTTCGAAGCCAAATGGGAATAAAAACCACCAAGCGCTATTTAAAGTTCTAAGCCCGTAGTAAAAATCAAAACAAAGTCGACGCTAAAGTTAATTGCAGCTTTTTGGCATAAAATTGGATATCTATCTGTCAAGAAAGCTGAAACTATTATTACAGTTGATTTTATTTTGATTATAATTACAGGCCATTGCCTTAGATTTGCATGATTTTAAAGCATATCGAATGAATTTCGTCGACAGGCCAAAGGTCTCACAAATCCAAAAGTGGTGATGTCTTTTATCAAAAACATCGTGTGTATTATTCGTGAAATTCAAATAAAAGTTTGTATATGTACATATTTCGAAAACAAATAATGGCTTGTTTTGGTTAAATTAAAACTAACATTCATTCGTAATAAAACTAAAGAGATTTTGAACAGAGACAAACATACATACATTTAAAAATAAATGCTGTCATCAAGTTGTTGTTTTTATACCTCTCCAAACTTGGCACGGTTATTAGGGTTATTGGCCTTGGTACAACATACTAAATGGCTGAAATTTTTTGAAATCGGACTATTACCACGCCCACCCCATATACTTACGAAATCTTCCATAAATCAGTAAATACCGAAGCCAATTTATTCAAAATTAATGTTTTCATAATTATTTAGCACAAAATACGTGTATGATAAAATTTTGGAAAATGGGCGTGGCACCGCCCACTTATGACCACATATGTGTATCTCGGTAACCGTTCGAGCAATTAGTACCAAACTCGGAATGATTATTGTGCTTGCCACCTAAAAGCTAAAGGCTGAAAATTATTGGAATCGGACTAAAATTACGCCCGTTTTTTATATAACGGTAAATTTCAGAAATGCTTGAAACTTCGATATTTCGAAATTTAAGGACGCTAATTCAATCCCTTGACAAGAAGTAACATTATTATGGAATTTTGGAAAATGGGCGTGATACCGTCCACATATAACTATATAAGTTTATCGAAAATTTCGCTCTGTCTTTCGCCTTCGCTTATACAGCTTGATAGAAATACATTCATCCATACGAAGTTGTTCACTTACACAACATGAAAGCAAAGCTTAAGGTTTTAAAAATGTTATTGTTTCGTGCCCTCGTCGATCAGATCAGCTTTTAGAAATAATACAAATTCTGTGAAATGTTTTTCCTTTTAAATGGAATGTGTGGCAATATTAGAAGTTAATAGTTTTTTAATTAATGTTTAAAATTCCTTGAAATATTTTTCCTATCTAATACTTGGAATGCGTGGAATTTTTTATTTACCAAATGCAATTGTTGATAACAAATCAACAATTAGTCGATAGAATGTTAATTTGATTGCCAAAGCTTTCATTGGAGAAACCACTTGCGTTAAGAGCCTGTCAGACGTGGCAATGCAATATATATTTAAAGTCTGTCAAATTGAGAAATTTCAGAAAGCAGTTGCATGAGCAGTCACACCTTGCATGTAAAGTGTTTATTTGAGTTACCGTTCAGTGACGGGATCATCCAGCCCCACCGCGACAAACGAGGCAGGACTGGTCCAACCTTCACTCACTCTCGCTTCGCTAAAGACCCCGGTTACAGCCAAATTAGCCGTGGAGCTCAAATCCAGCTTTGGCGGGTACATCTTGTTTCGCCTCTGTCTTTGTTTCATGAACATGCCCGCACTCCCGAGTTACTTTATCCCCTCTCCCACCAGCAGATTTATGTGCTCCTGTATTCCACAAGCGAGCACTGATTCTGATGAATATAACCTCCGTGTACCGCAATCCTTTGGCAGATGCAGCAGTATGAAGACTGCCGACACACACACACTGGGCGATTGATTTCTCCCGCCTACGTTTCACCACCTGTTTCCGTCAAACATGCGCCATCACTGCGTATATACTTAGTCGTTGGAAAACTACTAATACCTGACTCAAGCCCATTGTAAGTGAATAGTCCGGCCTTCGACTCTGAAGAAGCGCAGAAAGACGCAACCACTCGCCTCTACTCCAGAATGCACGATAATCCATAACCCTGTCGCTAGTGTTGGTACCACCTGGAGTAAAATCTGTAAATGCATCCACCACATAGTTTGACAGTTTAACTCAACGTTCCCACGACAGTCGGGTCTACGTAACCAGAACGACCCAGATTTATATTTGGCCAAGGACTGTCACTCCAGCAACGCTCCCCAAAAACTCTTTGGGAAACTTGTATGCTGCTACAATAACAACAACAGTTTAACCCAACTGCCCCGGTATAGTTAAGGCCCTGCTGGAAGGAGGTCGGTATTTCACAAGGTGTCCTTCCCGTCATCCTCCTAATTCCAAAACGGACTTATGCCACTCCGATAAACCCACCACCAGCTAACTCGTATCGCCTTTTAAGACAAGCATGCCTCTCTGCGGGTTTATTCATAAATCATCCTATCCCACAGGGCCTTATTAAAAAAAAAAATGGGACAGAACTATATATGTAAATTTTCTTAAAACCCGTCACTTCTCACGTTTTTTAACGTCATGAAATCTTTTTTCAAGCCTATGAGTATTATTTTTACTGTTGCGAGGGCTTGTGTGGATGAATGGTGAATAATCGACTACAAATTTTAGTACACTGGGTATATCTGCATAGTTGAATATTTAATCGTCGTCCCTTTATGTTTATTTTTAGATACTGCCACATAAATGCATACATACATACATATTTACATCATAAAAACGTCTATCAAATATCTAAATTCCTTGCGTTTATTTGCCAATTAACTCACTATTTCTATCTCTCTCTCTGTCTCTCTCTTCTATACTTTCAGGTCAATGGGCATTTTATTGCCACCCGTTTCGCAAGTGACCAACACACGTATCAACTTAACACAGCATCATCGCAATCGTAGTCTGGATAGCGCTCTGCAGCGCATACCGGAGGTGAGTTGCAAATAACAACTAAAAATGTCAAAAACAATTACCTAGTACTCGTACATCGCCGGCTGAGTGAACATAGAAACCTGTATCACAGGATGTACTATTTGATGATACTCTGCGTAGGCGCTAGTACCACGCAAACATTGACGTTGTTTGTAATTCTAGGAAATCTTTCAAGCAAATCACATCGACAGGAGAGGGAACAAATAATAAAGTAAAAAGTTGGAAGTAATAAAATTGATAGGAAATTGAATTTGTATCACATCGCCTACGCGCTCCTTGAAAGGAGCAATGTAAAGCTTAATTTGAAATTCAAAAACAAAAAAAAGGAAATAAGATTTCCTCAGCTTTATCATAACGTGTGCAAACGTGGATATACTACATAACTGCTTAACAAAATATATGTGTAGAAATCATCAATTTTTAGAATAATTCGTGGTATGCAGTTTTATAGCCCATTAAATTTTAGACACACCCTAATATAGAAGGCCCTAACTCATACAGCCGTTGAAATGCAAATAAGCGCAACTAGCTAAAATTTTTTTATTGCTTAAATTAATGTGCGGACTTATAATTCGGTGAAATGTATCATAATAAATCAAAAAGGAAATTTTGGATTTTTACTTAGTTACGGCTTTTTGTATTTCAGCGACGATGTGGGATAGGGCCTTTCTATATTAAGGTTAACGATATTTATGTATAACAAAGTGCTTGCTTAACGTTTATTAAATTTGTATAAAGGTCTTGCTGATTATATAAGCAAGACCATATATGTAAATGCTAAACTGTAAATTTCCGGAAAATATTGTATTTTTGATCAAAAAAATACAACCTTCAAAAACGAAGACAGTTTCAAAAAAGTAAGGTTTTTACATTTCATTAAAGATATCTACAGTGCTGGCAAAAAGTATTGGCACAGCAAATTTTTCACAATATATGCAATAATTTTTATTTTAATATTTTTCCGCCAATTTCTTATAAAAAATCAAAAAACATAAAAATATAATTCCTAAACTTTGTGCAAAACTCGCGAAAATTCAGCAAATTTTCAACTTTTTTATAATTTATTTGAGTACACAGTTTTGCAAAATGCAAGTTTGTAGTTAGTCAAACATCGCATTGTTTTTTTTTAGAATTCTTTTGTTGAAGGTGTTTTGAATTTTATTCATATAAATGTATTTTCGAAAAAAAATTTTGTATGGAAGAGACTGCGTGAAAAAATCGCCAAAAATCAACGGTAATTCCTAGCTACTTAAAACTTGTACTTTATTACAATAAAGTTGATCTCTTCGTTTTTGAAGCTTGTATTTGTTTCGTCGAAAATACAATATTTACCGGAAATTTAGTTTTTAAAAAAAAAAAACAAAGTCTGGCAACATAGCATGAAATTCAGATTTGTATGATCTTGGTTATATAATGAGCTAGCCTTTTATAAAAATTTAATAAACGTTAAGCAAGCAAGAGAAAAATATTCAAATATGTCGTGTACATAATATTATGACCCGAGGTGTATATCTACTTAAGGTCAAGAATAACTTTCACCCATTAATATGCTCAAATAGTCAGCTAAATTGAGTTAGTTTTATATTGAATTTTTATATACATACTGCATACATAAGTACATATTCAATTTGAAAAATCCATTCAACTTAGTGGCAGTCTGAAAACAGTGTGATTAGTAAAAAAATGTAATTTTAATACATACTTTTTTATTGTAAGTACATTTTAAATCGCATTAGCAGTCAGTATATTTGTATAATTTTTCGACTTAACTTACTATATACTACTGTTCATTTTAGTAGCATTCCTCAAAGCAACGAAAGTTCTGGAACAAAAACAATGACATTACTTGTTTTCTCAATCGGTATATGCACACGAGTGCAAAGTGCAATGAAATTGCAAATTCTAGGTAAATAAAATACATTTTTAATGCCTAAAAATATGAGTTGGAAAAAATATAAATATCTACCGCAAGCCACACGTCTGAATGCGCGTTTGTTGCAATATTTTTATTTTTTTTTTGTTTTTGCTGCATATTGTTTTCTTCGCAGAATTTATATGGTTTCAGACATGGTTTATTTTTTTCACTTTTTCTGTTTATACACCGCTATTCGTACAGCGATACCAGTATGGGCTTGATTATGGGGTAATTGTTATGATACATATGGATGTGTTTGTATGTACATGCATATGTATGTATGTATGTAAAAATTTGTAAAGTGGAACATCTAGTTAAACTTAATCTGCATACTGTGACTCCCAGAAATATTTTGCATAGATTTTTTTCACGATATTCAAAATGTTTTTCATAGTAGATTTTTTTACGTTAATTTTTTATAAAAATATGTATAGCCCATTCGGCAACAAAAACCTTGTGAATAAAAATTCAAAACTTTGTATCAAATGAAGCAAAATCTCATCAAAATTTCAAACCATTCCATCACATATTTTACGAAAATGTAGCTTTATGGCCTATTCAATTTTAGTATAATTAAGTGCGAATTTGAAGTTACTAAAAAATTCTCTTGTTTTTTTATAATTTTTTTGCTGTGTTTGAACATTTTCTTCGATTTAACGATTTTTTTTTATGGAAGTAAAAGAAAAAATGAAAAAATCACCAAAAATCAACTTTAAATTTGCACTTTATTATAGTAAAATTACTGTGTTGAACATTTTCTTCGATGTAACGATTTTTTTTTTATGGAAGTAAAAGAAAAAATGAAAAAATCACAAAAAATCAACTTTAAATTTGCACTTTATTATAGTAAAATTACATACTTATCTACTTTGATCTTATTTGGAAAAATAAAAAAGTTTGAAATTTTGATTTAGATAGTTTTTGTTGTAGAACGAGCTGCATATCTATAAAAAATATCGTATAAAATCAATGCCAATATCCTTCTTGGAGTCACTGTACATATGTATACATATATGTTGCCGCTACAACAACAACATGGAAGTGTGAACAATTGCAATAATTAAAAAGTATCTAAATACAAATTTTCGCCAGAGTATTAACTAATAATTTGTAAAGATTATCGACTATGTTCCTTAACCAACCTTCGAAGTCTAATTGCGTCACAATCAAACGTCATTTGCCGTTTCAGCCCTTTTTCAATCTGAATAAAAACGACAATTTTTCCATTAAATTTTCATACCGTACTTTATTAATATATACTTCTTTAATGTGTCACTAAAATGAATTTAATTCCCCCTCGCTCAATAATTACGATTTTTTACCTTATTTTCCTATCTCTACAGGTTGAAGTCTCCTCACCCAATTCGGAGAGTGAGAACACATTTTGCACACCATCCATTCTGGGCACGACTATGTGCTCGAAAATCGTCACGACTGCAGCCAATGTAACAGCCGCCCTAACGACAACAACAACACCGGCTTTGACGTCATCATTAACACCTTCACCACCGCCACCACCCCCATCCTCTTTATTGACGGCCACCGCAGCTAGACTATCAACCATAACAGGTGGTTTAATGGACTCATCGCCGGCTGCCCCAATTGCAGCTATGACCACAGAGCCCACAGCAAGCAACAGCAACAATAACATTAACATTGGCAACATTAGCAACGTCAGCAGTAGCAGTAGTACATGTGCTGGCGTGAGTGGTGATGTTGGCGGTTCCAATGTGATTGGTGCGTTTAGTTGACTAACATATATACATACATATGTATATACTTAGTACAATTCTCATTAGTTTAAAGCTTATTTTTTAATTACGGACATATGTATTTATCCAGCTATTTTGTCTACAGTTGAGTCCTGCCCAACACTACGTGTGCGTCCTAAATCGAGTGAGACATCGTCGTCATCATCATCTTCTACACGTTGTGGTGGAGTGCCGCTTGCAGGTGCGGCAACTAGCAACATCAACAACAACCTCGCGAGTAGCAATAATAGCAACGGCAGCAGTAGTAGTAAGAAACGCGAGGATCTCACCAGTCTCGGTTCCGATGATTCAGGTGGGTAGATGGATAATTTCCGCTTTGATTAATGTGTTTAAATGCCTGATTAGTGCAAATATCTGTGAAGTACAAATTTTTTTTTGGTTTGCTATCTTATCGCCTAATTTAGCAGTCGTGCAATTATCATTAAGCCAATGACTAAACAGAAGTGATTTCCTAAAAATTTTTTTTAGATTAATACGTAGGCGTGTCTCACCCGTAATGAAATGTTTGTGTTATTTGAAAGACATTTTTATTGTCAGCAAAATACTGCAAATGTGCGAATCTTTGAAGCTGTTCTGTGCAGTTTTAATGTAAAATATACTGATAAGTACTTTAAAGTTGGTTCTAATTAGGGCTGAGACTATCCGGATATCCGTTCGCATATTCGTGTATACGAATAAAATCGGAATAGTGATATTATCCGTTCGTTTGGTTATCTGGATAATAAAAACAGTATTTGAACGGATTCATAAAATTGTTCCCAAAATTAATTAATCTATCGAGTTGTAAAATAAATAATAGAACACGTCATTATTATATCACTTAATATTCGAATAGCAAATTATCCGTCTCCTATGTAGCTCTTATAAAGGTGTTGGCCGATATTCACCCCTTTGCTCTTTGCTGCAGCAGGATAAACTCATACCTGAGCAGACTAAACGCAGATGTACCAAATGAGTGTCCGGCATGCGGAGAGACACCTCATGGCTCGAAACATCTCTTCGTATGCCCGGAAAACCCGACAACCCTAACGCCTTTGTCCCTATGAACCGACGCCGTTAGTGGAACTTGACGACAACGACTGACATATTAACCGATCTGGGCGGGGTTGTTGTAGTCGCTACAACAACAACAACAACCGGTTAGGTAGCCTGTGGGCAATCTGATCTTGGCCCTATCCAAAAGATGTATGCCCTTCCTAGTGAATGGATAGTCAAAGAGACTTGCCTGGTCTGTCTAACACCCAATTCTTAAGGCTTTCTAAGTTTACCCACTTCTTCAAAATGTTTTTTGCTGAGTGGCATTTTTGAACTCAAAAAAAAAAAAAAAACAATAAAAAATAAATAAAAAATGTTTGTCAAAATGTACAGATTAATAATTACGTAAATCTACTTAAATACAATTCAATCCCTTCACTCTACAAATAGGCATAATTTGCGGTTCAGACTCGGATCAAATCTCCCTCAACCGCATACGTCACTCACACGAATCGTTGGACTCGGGTGAAATGGATGCAGAGGAAGAATGCATTGATATGCTCGAAACAACATCAATGGATGAGGAGTATGGCATGCTACAATCGGACTTAATATTCTATCAATCCGCTGAAACAGACTGTCGCACACTACGTCCATCACGCAAACAAAAACAAATGCAACAACAGCATAACCGCATCAAACAGGCGCCGTGCACAATTTCCGATGCAGAAATTATGGGTATCGATGGAGGAGATGGCAGTGATGAGGATATCGATGCAGCGGCCGCAGCACAGCTGTCTGAACGTATGCGGTATCGCGAATTAAATATGTCGCAAGCGGCGTTAAATATGGAACGTTCAAGTAGTGGTACACCTACGGCTCTAGATGCCGATTTGGATACACCCACGGCGGATACGGTGGATTCGGCAACTCCAACAGCGACACAACCGAACACACCATCAACTCCAATGGCAACTACAGCGGTGGTGATGACACCACAACCGACACAGACGGGCAAGGTACAAAAGAATTCGGAGGCGGGTAGTGCTAATGAAACCACAAAGAATGATGTGCTTTTTAAGAGCTTCTTTGGCGCCACTAAGAATATCTTTCGCACCGCGCAAAGTATCATTGAGAATCACGAGAAAAGAAATGCAGCAAAGAATAAGAATGATGATAATGCTGGCAATACTGGTGGCGGTAGTTCCGTAACAGACCAAGTGAAATCGCCTACAGATATTTCCAAGAAGAAGGAGTTTTTCAGTCTAATCACGTCAAATTCGAGTAAAAAGGCTGCTGCTGCTGCTGCAGCTGCTGCCGCAGCCGCTGCCTCAGCACAACAATCTGCTTCCAATACACCAGCGGCTACACCTTCGGCCGATTTGACGCCAGTTGAGCCGAAATTTCCAACTTTTGCGTCATCATCCGCAGAGGTTGTCGAGAAGAAGGCCAGCGCAAGCACGGATGTCGTGGAGAAAACTTTAAATCTTCCTCTACCCGGTCTCGGCGCTTCCTCCTCGTCTACTTCGATAGCAAAATCTTCTTCCATCTCTTCGTTGAATAAACTAAAAGTGCCAGGTGTGGTGAAATGCTTCATCAAGGAGCGTCCGGCCAACAACGATACTTTGCAAAAGACTGAAAAAGGTCCCAGTGGACTGCTGAGATTTTTCGAATCTCCCGTCTTCAATATACACTTTGCTATTCACTATCTGTTCTATTCGAAAGAACCAGGTGTGCTTAGCTTTATCGGCAATAAGATTTTCAGCTTCGCCGATCAAGAAGTGGACCTCTATATACCGCAACTTATTGTTATGTACATTCAAATGGATGAATTGGCGGAAGTGCTCGACCCGTATTTGACTATTCGCTGTCGCAAGTCTGTAGACTTTTCATTGAAATGCCTTTGGTTACTCGAGGCCTATAATTATCAATTCGATTCGTTAGGCAACGGATCTCGCAAATCACAACTGGCGCTCATGAAAGAAATCTTCTCAAAAAAGGAACGCAAAATATTGAGTAAATCCGACGGTAAAGATAAGCCTCCTGCTGTGGGCGGAGCTGTAGCCGCTGTTTCACCGCTAACTAAAAAGACCCATCATCGCTCACAATCGGACGCCACGCTTTTGTTGAACGATTCGCGCCGCCATTCCTCATCACTCGCATTAAGCATATCAAATCGTCACTACCAACAACCGCCATACACAACGCAAACATTACCATTGATGCCACCCAAATTGTGTTTGGGCGATCTGACCTCTGGACGGGCATTCGATAACGGCTGCACTTGCTTCGAGAGCGTACGCGGTCAGGTGAGAGGCAAAAGAAATCTGACATTTATGATTCCCCAAGTTTTACAAATTATTTTACCATTTAATTTCAGGTCAATGGTTTGCTCGGCCAGAAAACCGTTTGCTCCTGCAATGCACCCAAAACCGCGCCCGAGAAGGAGTTCATGAAGGCGCTCATAAATGTTGGCAAAAATATCACATCGCTGCCGTCCAAGGCGGAGAAAACTTCAGCGCTACGCATGTTCTTGAACCTGATCAATAAGAATCTGCCGGCTCGCGTCTGGTTGCCGGTATATTCGGACATTCCACACCATGTGGTGCGCATAACAGAGGAAAAGACTGCGGTGCTCAACTCAAAGGACAAGACACCGTACATCATTTACGTCGAAGTGGTTGAGGTGCCCGATATTTACTCATCGCCGCTTATACCGAAAATGATGCCATCATTGCGACACACCAAGAGTGAAGAACACTTAGAGGGTGCTTGCAGCCATTCCCACCAATTGCAACAGCACAATCACAACCATGTGAGTTGTAGTCGCACGTCCAGCTGTAGCTCGCATGGTGGCGCTGCCATTGGCGGTGGTTCGAATGCGAGTTCAAGTTGCCGTCATAAAAAGGAGAAGCTTCTATCTGAATCCTCGTCTGTGGCGTCTGATGCCCAAACGTCGACTGTTGCTGGCGGCGATGGTGGACATATGTGTAGCACGCAGACCGTGGGTCTCTCACTTGGTGGTCTTCACTTGACCGAGGATGATGTCTGGTCGCAGGAAGATGATGAGATCACAGCACAATACATGCATTTGCGGAAACTGAGTGAACGAGATGCCATATCGCAAATGTCGCTAGACTCGTGCGATTCGAGGGACCAAGGTATGTGAAAACAGAATAATGCACAATTTTTATGTGTGGCTAACCACGATGGTAAATTTAATAAAAAAAAAATACTTTCTTATTAAATCATGTGTATTTTTTTCAGGCTTACCGGTACTATTCAATATTGGCGATGTGCGCACAAGACATTGTAATAACTTAACCTGCGAAAACACAAAGTCATTCAATAATGATCCCGAAGATCCATCGGCAGCAGCTTTGAAGGTAAGCACATAAATTTCATAAGCTCTCGCATCGATTTTCAACAAAATTATTTAACATAAACTTCACAGGAACCCTGGCATGAAAAGGAGAAACAGATACGCGAATCATCTCCCTATGGCCATCTTTCAAACTGGCGTCTACTTTCGGTTATTGTAAAATGCGGCGATGATTTGCGTCAAGAACTTATGGCTACGCAGCTATTGCAGGTTAGTTAATCGCTGATTCTTTCTTCTAATCTAATCTAAAAAGTAAATCTGACTCATTTGTTAATTCAACACTTTTCCATTTTTTTCAGATGTTCAAAATCATTTGGCAAGAAGAGCATGTCGATCTCTGGGTGCGACCATACAAAATTGTCTGCTTATCGAATGACAGTGGTCTAATCGAGCCCATCCTTAATACGGTATCGCTACATCAAATCAAAAAGAATTCTAATAAATCATTACGCGATTACTTTATCGATGAGTATGGCTCACCAGATGATGAACGATTCTGTGCGGCGCAAAAGAATTTCGTACAAAGTTGTGCAGCTTACTGTCTGATTTCGTATTTATTGCAAGTAAAAGATCGGTAAGTCATTCCTGAAAAAAAATTAATACTTAGAAAATTTGTGGTAATAATACTTACGGTTTCCAACAGGCATAATGGCAATATTTTGCTGCATTCAGATGGTCATATAATACATATAGACTTTGGTTTTATACTCAGCATATCGCCGAAAAATTTAGGTAAGTGCCTAACAGTTTTAACAACTAAAAGGATTAGAAATACATATGTTGCTTATTTTAATATTTGCGAAACTGTAAACCAACAATTGGAAGATAAATAAGCATACATATACCGACGTTTTTAAAATGCTTTCCCCTAAACCCTTCAGTAGCCGAAATTATCCTCTTAACATTGACTGCGCCTAACACCTCTTACATCATTGCGGATTACGTAGAATATTCGAAAAAGTGAGTGGTGTTGCGTATGCCATCTGTGCATGCCGCACAAATATCTGCGACCCAGAAAGTAATTTAGCTAGAAAGTAATTTGTCTCCACCAAGCTCGAGTCTTACGCAAGGACTTTATTTGTTTGTTTATTAATTTTTTAACTATTCTGCTTAAAACAAGAATTGCTTGATTTGTGGCATTCCACCATGTTGTCTAGAGGATATCGTTCCCGAGGCAGGTTTATTGAAAGCCCTTTTTATAGAACCACCTTCCACACCTGGCCTGAGAAGATCTGAGTTCCATTGTCCTTGTATTTGCATCGTAGCTTATCTCCTATCGCAGTGGCATATGCCGAAAAATCTGTTGCTCTGCCGACCTCCATTTAAAAACTCGATAAGATATACCTTGGGGTTTTCAAGTTTTTTTTTGTTTAATGTACGGTAAAATTTGAAATTAAATGTCGTATTCAATTTCTGAGGTATCCAATTCGACACCGCTCAACGCTAGATCAGCTGCCATTCCGTTTCCATGAATGTTTCGGTGCTCCAATACAGAGATCAGATTAACGCTGTGTAGCTGGAGTGGCGTACAAATGTAGAGTCATACCCACTACCCTTATCGGAATTCAACCAGCACTCATTGCAGAGGAAAAAATTCAATTGCCCCGCGAAACCCGCCTTGATTTACATATACAGTGGCAGTCAAAAGTGGATGAATGGTGTGTCGTTTTTAATATTTACAAAGGTTTTCCAGCTATTTTTTTTTTTTTATAAAAATAAGGTTCATGCTTTAACAAACACATATAAAACTCCACAAAATTGTATCTAAATTTCGAGCTTTTGAACCAGAATTTTTATAAAGTTTTGAGCGGCTAAAAAATCGCGTTGATTTCCAATATTTTTTTTTTAGTTGACGCGGTTTTGCACTTTTTCCATATAAACATGAATTTCTTGTGGAGGAATATGGAGGAATATATATAAAAAAGTAAACGCTAGTTTTCCTAAATTTCGCTATTTATTTGAAAAAAAAAAACTGCAAAGCTGTTTGCAAAAAACAAAAATTAGTTCAGTTCATTTTTTAGCCGGTCATACATTACTGAAATTTTATAAGCCTGTTAACTGCATACCCAGAAAATATATAAAAATTCTGGTTAAAAAGCACGAAATTTGGAAAAAAATTTGTGGAATTTTTCTAAATTCTGTATAAAGTTTGAAAGTGTGATTTATATGGTTTTTGTTAAAGCATAAAAATACCAAAAAATTTTAGCTTGAAAAACATTGTAAATATTAAAAACTAAACGCCATTCATTCACTCTTGACCGCCACTGTACATACATGTGTATATTGCACTATACTTTTTTACAATTTCTATACCTTAATATTTTTTCACACCTTCAGGTTTCGAGCAATCACCCTTTAAGCTAACACCTGAATTCGTTGATGTAATGGGCGGCACCAATTCTGAACTTTGGAAAGAATTCAATCACCTCTTGCTTGTTGGTATGATGTCAGCGCGCAAGCATATGGATCGTATCATAAATTTTGTGGAAATAATGCGTAGCAGTAAGTTCCAAAATAAAGTTTAAAATAATTTGCCACACTTTAATATCACAAAATCATTGAAAATTTGTTCTCTCATTCTACCCATTAGATGCGCAATTACCTTGCTTCAAAAATGGTTGCTCTGGCACCGTACAGAATCTCCGAAAACGATTCCATATGAATTTAACCGAACAGGAAATGGAACGCAAAGTGGAACAACTCGTGCAGGATTCGTTAAAGAGTCTCTCAACAAAATTATACGACGGCTATCAATACTATACGAATGGCATATTGTGAGAAAGGTTTTTCATGAAAATCTAAAGTAAAAGAGAAGACGCAAAACAAAAATAAATGCTACTACACAACACCAGCGTCTGCAGTTAGAGCAAGTTAAAATGATATTTATATGCACACATACATACATATATACATATGTGCTTACCAAGTACCAAGTAAGCTAATTGGGTGCAAGGAGGTCAACGACTATCGCGACAGCGACAACCGTTGCAGTTGTGTTTGAAATGCTTGCGCCGGTGCACTTTATGTTGAGAGTGTTGTTGTTTTTTTGTTTAGATTTAGACAAAATATGTGAATATGTATGTCCTTATGACTGACAAATTAACTGACTGATTGACTGACTGTAGTTTTGTTAGATAGTACGAGTGATTAATCAGAAACCAGAATTCGTGCTATTGCATACGCCCAACAAAAAAATAAAAATAAGAAATCTGATGCTGTTGTGCAAATTTCCAGCACTAGCAGATAGTTTTTTTTTTAAGGTCGATGTTATGCAGACGAAGTTTTGTTTGACAAACAAGATGGCTGCGCCTTAGTTTGCTCTGAGGTAGTTAGACCGATTTTGGCACGGGGTTGCATACTGGTGGTGTTTTTTTTTTGCTTTTTGCGAATACGAAATAAAAATTGCAGATGTATGTAACTACACATCGAGCACAAATTAATAAATTGCAATCAACTGTACCCTATTCTTTAAACTTTAAAGTTTAAAGCTGGCTCCCATAGCATAAATGCAGTTCTCTGTATTTTGATGTATCTGAAATTTTTTTATTAACAAATTTAGTTTGCTGGTGGTAGAGTCCAAATTTTCACCGATTTTGCATGCAGTTTGCCAAACACATTTTCTGTGTAACATCGCCCTAATACGTACTAGAAATTAAACTGTTTCCTTTTTTGTAAATACTGCATACATACATATACATATATACATAGGATATATTTAAAACTGTATAATATACATATAACTACATTCATAAATATAAAAAGAATATAATTAGTTTTTAATCCAATATGGTTATATTGAATGTAATGTTGTGTATTACCTAAATAGGAGTGAGTCTTATGTGTAAATAAATTTAAATAATTTTATCGCACATAAATACATATTTAGTTGGATATTTGAAAATGAAAAAAATATACATGTACCGTTAAGTTGACTAAAAAAATAATAATCAACAGCGCATAGTAAGAGATGAATTGGTCATTTTATTCAAGCTAGCCTTGTTTTCTGAAAAGTAAATGCATGTAATGACTAAAATCGCTGCTTTATTTTTTTTTTTTTTATAAAATAAAGCATTTAATTTATTTAAATTTTCTGTAAAAGCGCTGTAATGAAAATTGCAAGAGAAGGGAATGTTGAATTAAAAAAAAAAAATCTTTGATTGATGTACAAAAAAAGTATAGATTTTTTAATGCAAACATTCAAAATGTACTGAAATATTTTTTTTTCTCTTTTACAACTATTTAATAATTTCGTACGTATTAAAAAAAGCGGTTCAAAGAATGTAAGGTTATATTTCGCTGTTCAAAAATAATCTGAAATTTTTTAAGATTTTTCGACACTACGCCTACTGTTGTCTAAACATAGCAATAGACCAGACTGTTCGACTTGGACTACAACGAAGCAGTTCTTACCGTTACACAATGGATGGACGACAACAATTAATGGCCTCAATGATCTCGGTAAAAGGCTGGTGGGCTTGGCAAACTTAGCACAATCGCGGTTCATTTCATTTGTGCGCCAACTTAGACTGACATTTTAATATTTTTTACAGAGTTTAACATTGTGGCATGTTGCGCAGACGAAATGACTGTGCAGCAAAATTTGTAAACGAATCGCAGATATTTGGTACGTTCGATCTTATCTTCAACTTGACTGCATACCCAAAGAAACACCTGGATGAGCAACAACACTTCTCAATTCTCTTCATACATACCCAAAGAAACACCTGGATGAGCAACAACACTTCTCAATTCTCTTCATACATACCCTTCAAGTAGCGGTGGCCGATATAAAGGAGGCAGTCGATGGGCTACGCACTGGTATAATAACGATTGGAAGGGAAAATATCTACGCCGACACCTAAGCGGCATTCAGAGGCCTCGAAACAAAACTACTGAGTGTCAATTTCCGTTCTGCGTTATGGCGAAGTGAAGTGAAAAGTATAAAATTAACACCGAAATAAATGCGGTGTAAAAGTGTTTTTGGCTAGTTATGCCACCGTTGAGGTCATCTCTCCAGGCAGCGAGGATGTAGGAGTTCGCTTACAAGACTAAGGTTCAAACACGTGTGCTCGTCTTTCACCGACACCGCCGGAGCCACACTCCTTAGGGTGGACAATTATCACTTTTCTTGAAAAAATTTTACGATTTACCTGCAGTTAGATCTTTTAAGTGGCAACATGAAAACAATACAAGAAATGTATTAAGTCAGACCCCCGCGAGGCCGAAGTAACCTACAAGTATCATAAACTTGACAATCTGAAAGAAATTAAATATTGCTTAATTATTAAACTGATAACATTAAAAGTGGTAGCCTCAGGCGGCTTGTTGTTGTAAACAGCATTTTGGATTTTTTTTTTGTTCATTCATGACGCTTCGTTAGCATAGAAACATGTGTTGTTCGAATGTCGGACTCGCAATGTGCTATATAACTTTATTATTAAAAATTCGTTCAAAAAAAATCACCATACCACCCAGTTGGCAAAAATTTACCAGCATCAACATATAACTTTATATTCTATGGACAGCACTTATGTAAGTGCAGCAAATAATAACCAAAATAATTTAACTGATAAAAGCAAAGAAAAATTCTAATGCAGCTCTTCTAAGCGTGCGAGTTTTGACAGCAAAAAAAATAGCCTGATAAGGTCGTAAGCTTATACTTAAAAAAAAAAAGAAAAAAAAAAACGCTAATATCTCGTGCATGTATGCAGTGTTAAGTTTTATGACGAAATGAGAATAAATGATTACAAAACTCTTTATACGTGTCGAAGAAAGTAAAAGTTAAAAATTAATGCGATCATAAGGTGGTCAAACAAATTTAACGCACCGTTAAATATAAATAAATTTACCATCGTATACTAGGTTTCTACACTTATGTACATACATACATATATTCCAAAAACAAAAGGTTAATCTCTTGTCCACTTATTGTTCCAATGGCTACTTTTTTACAAGCATATAAAAAATAAAAGAGCATAAAAAATATGTAGAAATATGCTAGGTACGTGAGCATAAGTGAATAAAGCAAATTTTAAATAAATAGTTAACGCATATACATATGTATAGTAAAAAGTTATTTAAAGTTTAAAAACTGTAAAGATCCTTAATTTTAAAAACGCAGTGTTGAAGTACTCGAACTAACAAGCGCACTTAAAGTGCCAGCAAGATAAAAAATAACAAAACAGAAAAAAACTACGAACTAAAAAGCAAATAAAGCAAGTAAGTTAATAAATTTCATTAAGAATTATTAAAATGAAAATTTGAGCTATGTAAGTAGGTAACACTACGAAAACTAATCAACACTAAATGTATGTATGTAAATTACTTGAAATAACTGCTTTTTCCTGTAGCATAAAAATTACAAAAGAAATATATGTATAACTACATATATGAACATATTACAGCCTAAATTAAAAACAGTCCCAACTCTAAAACCCCAAATGTTCTAGAGACGAAAAAAAAAACTGTTAATGATGCGCAAGCAGAACAAAAACAACCTTAGCAGTGTATTTACAGTTAAAGAAGTTAGTGAGGAGCAGAAATTTTGGCGGACGATAGACTTGTTTTATGAGAGAAAATCAAAATTAAAAAATTTTGAGTTTTGACTATTTTTGATTTAGAGTGCGTTATATACAATAATAAAACTATTAATAGTCGCCAGGAATTCGTGTATTTATGTATACATAGGCAGTCTTATACATTCGATTTTTATTATTAAAATACTTGTGTATAAATTAAATCTTTGTAATATTATAAAAGAAAACACAAAAAAAAATACAATATTCGAAAAAAAACTATTTAAAAATTACATATATTACTTCGACGTTAGAAACAATCAAAAATTCAAATCGTTAAAAGCATTCAAGAACATCTATTGTAATATAATACATATTTATATGCACATACATGCAAGAATACACACAGATATAAACAAGAAATTTGCATTTGTAAAAAATACATCCATTTTATTTTCTTTTATTTTTAATTTCCTCCTTTTAAAATTTAGCCGTAACATATTTAATTCTAGTACTATGTGTGTATACTTTATATTTAAATGTTTAATATAATATATAATTTATTATATAAATATGTATTTGTAATTCGCTAAGCCTTTAATATACGCATGTACCTATGTATATGTGCAAGAGTTTGTATATTATATTCTAAATAAGTACATAAATACATTTTGCCTATATATGTATAATACATACATATATAAAATAATGTATGAAACGCCAATAAATAATATCTACTGATACATACTACACACATGCATAGATTAATAATACATGTGTACATACATTGTACATGCATACATACATACATATTTGCCTATGATCGTATGAATTAGATATTTCAGCATAACTAGCTGCTTATGAAATAAAACGAAACTTATATTTTTGGTTTGTTTTTAATTCAGCAAAACTACGAAATAAAATTGCGTCTTTTTTACAAAACAAAACACACACTTATTTGAGTTTTCTCGTTTTTCAATTCTATTTAGTTGCTTATCTTTAGTTATTTGACTTAATTCCATTACCCTTCCACCGAAACGCTGTCATTTGCTCAAAGTTGTCAAAAGAAATCCATTGAATTTTATCAATTGCGCACAAAAATGTGAAATGCAAAAATGTTGCTTAGTGCATGATGCGCAACATTTGCATATGATGCGCAGCACTGCTCTGCTGCACTGCGATGTTGCGCGCGAACTGCGCAACATTTTGCCTGGCACTTGCTGGGCATTTCTGCGCGCCTACTAGAATCGACTGTTTGCGAATTTCGTGCCGCCGCACAGGGTGACGCAAAATTGGCGCTCAAATATTTTTGGCGATTGCCTACCTTTAGGCGTTTGTTGTAAAAAAATTTGTGTGGCCACAGGGTGCCCCAAATGATTTGTTTGGAAAAGATTTTGTCATTTTTTTATTAAGTAGAAGTGCTAAATATGCTAAATATAAAAATGAACTTACCTTGAAAATCGTTTCGATCAAGAAATCGACATTTATCATAACTTTCTAATTTCGCTTGCAAAAAAATAAATCAAAAATGCAGTTTAGTTTTTTTAATTCTTTATTTCTTCTTAATATGTGTTGGTACGGTTATTCCAAGCAAACAAATGACCTTATGAATAAAAACTAAGCAATTGTTTTTTCTTAAAATTTCAGACCTTTTACTTAAATTTATTTGAATAAATGGAGTAAAAGTTCCGAAATTTTATGAGCAAGTAATTGCTTAGTTTTTATTCATAACGCCCAATAATTGTTGATCTTTTTAAGCGTCAAACGTAATTCTTTTCTTAAGAGACATACGAATGTATGGTACGTACAAATTAGCTATAAATTTTTTTGCAAAACATTTTAACCCTTATATTCCAACCACATTGGGTCTCTTGAAGCCTACTTTTCTACAAATGAAACGTGAGCTCATTTAACATGATAGGTGGAGGGTCGGGCCATTATTAGAGCTTGTTACGAAGTATGGGAAATGAAAGCTAATAATTCTCCTTTCCATAGACCCGAAAGTTTCTGAGAAATAAATTAATAATTCCAGATTTTTTTTTTTTTTGTGAAAAAATAAAAAGTTCAAACTTGCGTTTGAAGACATCTGACTCTACGCTGGGTACACAGACACAGTAATATTTAATGGAATGAGTCGGTTGATGAGATGGCCAGATACGTCTCTGAGATGCCAATTAACGAGGCTGATAATTCCGTACTACCAACGCTACAACATTAGGAATATTTATGATTACACTATGACCGTTACTGTTGGAACTCCTCAATTTCATTAGGGATAACAATTGCTTCAGCGGAATAATGACATGAAAGTACTTAGCTTCTCTGTAAATGCGAACCCCTTGGTAAGGGGTCCTCCTCCTACCACTCACTTGAAGAGCGCACTCGCAATGGACAACTTTGACTCGAAGTGAAAGTATAGAACATTCCATACATGCCCTCCTAACCTAACCTAAAAATTGTCATTCATGGAGATGGACGTTGGCCACAACTACGAGTTTCTCGACATAATAGACTAGGGTTCTGACACTGCACTGAGCAATCTTCAAAGATGAATTCAAAATGAAAATCGGAACGAGATCAATCGTCTTCTTCTAGCAACTTTCATTCAAAGAATCTTATAGACTTCCAGATTATTGTAGTATTTCTCAGGCTGAGAGCCCAGATTGTCTTAAGTGTCGAGAAAGATGCAAGTAGACCCAAAATGAAGTTTCCCCTATTTTGACGTAAATACAGAAGTATATGCAGGAAAATTTTTGATGGTTAAACATCTTTGCTCGCCGGTATGGGCAAAATTTGCGTAAACGGTCACGCGTAAACCACGACGAATTCAGAAGTAGTGCAAATGAGACAAATCTAATCAGCAGTGCCAACCAGGCAAATGGCAAACCTCCGAGTGTATTTTTGCTTCTCATAAAAATACAAATCACCGTTGGGAGTCGGCGTAAAACTGTAAGTTCCTACCCTTTGTATGACCACATCAAGGCGCAACATAACAAATTTTTAGTAAATTTCATATTTTTTGATTTTTTATTTAAATAAAACATCTAACTGGTCTGTTACACTTTGGCGAAATGTATAGAAAATAGTCTAAAAAAAAATTGGGCAAAGAAATAAGTATGTAGTATACGAGTAAATTGATAACATTTGCGAGTGCTACGAGAATGCAAAATTAAAAAATAATATAAAGAAAAACAAAGAAATCTTACTAAATCGAAAAGTTTGTGGTTGTGTATATAGAAAGTATTCGCGCTTATTGTTGCTGGGCAGCAAGTTGAAAATTGCATTAATGCAAACATATGGACATGCATATACATATATGTACAGTGACTCAAACAAGTGTTCACGTGTTGATTTTTTTTCCTTAAATATTCACAATGTTAATTTTTTTATAATTTTTTTTTATAAAAATATTATAAATGCCGTAATCAAAACTACATAAACCGAATTTGCAAACTTTTTAGGAAAATGCAACAAATTTTAGCAAAGTTTCGTACCTTTTTAGTTGGAATGCTTAGAACATTTTTGGGTATGCAGTTAATTTTATAGGCCATACAATTTTAGAAACAATAAAAGTTTCAAGCGGCTAAAAAATCGCGTTATTTTTTTCCTGACGGCGTTGATTTTTTTTAATTTTTTTTTGTGAACGGTTTTGCGCAAAAGAGCAAAAATCCGACTGCAAAAAAATTATAGAAATCAACTATCGCTGAAAATTGTGTGGGCTATAAATCGCATACGCAAAAATGTTGTAAAAATTTGGACTAAAAAGTTGCAAATTTTTATGAAAACTTGTTGAATTATTCTAAAAGTTTTCGAACACTAATATATTTTTTTTTTGTATAAGCATGAATATTATTTTTATAAAAAAATAACAAAAAAAATTTTACTTGAAAAACATTGTGATTATTAAATGAAAAATAAATCAACACGTGAACACTTGTTTGAGTCACTGTATGTATTTATAAGCTGTAAACATGTGTGACATTTATTGTTATAATATAAAAGTGCAGAATGTATACGTACAGAATGGGCACTTGTGATGAAGCAAATGCAAAACTAGATAAAATAAATAAAGAAATAAAATATTGCAAAGAATGCGATTAAAATTATATACAAACATAAGCAATTAAGTGTGTTTGTCCGTTAAAAGCTTAAGTACCTACATGTAGAGTATGTATAGTAAGCACAAAATATACGTACGTATGTATGTACAATATGAAAGAATATTAAGTTGCGAGAAACGGGCGATTTTGATATTTCTATTTTTGCGGTAATAATTTTAAAAAAGTTTTTCAAATAATTTTTAATGTTTGAAGAATATTTTTTAAAATTATAAAACTTGTTTTTGAAACTTGCCTACGTCCTTTTGAGTTTATGTGTGGAATGAAATAATATTAGTTTAAGGAAGTTTACAGCTTTGGGCAGATTTAAATTAATCTAATTTTCC